AAGCAACAAAGTCTAAGCGGTAGAAGTTATAGCACTATTTCGGAGATCACCACATCTCCTCATCAGACTTCTTTTTTCTAGACTTCAAATTTTCCTAATAAACAATCGTGATACAAAGCTCAATAAAAATAATAAAAATTTTAACCATATGTTTTGTGATCATATGTTTTCGTGTTGGATAATTTTTGCTGAGTAAAATTTTGCCAGTACAAAATGAACGCTCCTCTTGCAACAAAATGAACGCTAGCTCTCTCAATTTTTGTGTGTTGGATAATTTCTTGTCGTTATCGAACGCCATCCATTCAAAATTTGGAAAAAATTTGGACTTGTCGAACGCAACTATAGTAAAAAGTAAACGAACAGGAACGAAACCGGAAGAAGAAGACACACCAGCTGACTTTGTTTATGTTTTATTTGTAAACAAACTGAAATTTATGTTGCCTCCATAGAGAAAAAAGGAAAGTGAACGTTCAATGTTCGCCAGGAACATTTCTAGAAGTAAAAACTGGTTCGCGCTATCATAAAGTTACATAGCAGGCATCCAAAAAGCATATAAATACCAAAACTCGGAAAATGCAATTTTGTTTATTTACAAAAATTGCAACCATATGTTTTGTGATCATATGTTTTCGTGTTGGATAATTTTTGCTGACTAAAATTTTGCCAGTACAAAATGGACGCTTCTCTTGCATCAAAATGAGCGCTTGCTCTCTCAATTTTTGTATGTTGGATAATTTTTTGTCGTTATCGAACGCCATCCAGTAAAAATTTGGAAAACTATTACAAATTTTTGACTTGTCGAACGCACCTTATATTAAGGGCCGTAAACTTATCTACTTTAAACTATAGTAGTATAAAAACGTAAGGAACATACAATACATATATGTATATATATCAGTAATTTTTAGTTTAAAAATTCATCTCTTACATAAATGAACAAAAAATTTGAGATCAAATTAAGCATATGGGCAAATCTAAAAAACAGGTAACCTTTGTGTTGTTTAGGTTATTTTCACTATTGTAAACTAAATCAAGCTGGTTACTTTTGGATATAATTCATTGACGTATACTTGACGCCTCAGAAAAAATATGGATCAATTTGCTGCTATAGGTGTTTAAATTAAAAAAAAATTATAATGAAAACAGGTGAATTTTTTATGTAATTTTGAAGAGCTTCACAATTAATTATGTCATAACTTTTGAAGCACGCCATATTCTGATTTGAAATTAAATGGGCATTTAGCACTTATGTGTACACTTCATATGTAGTAGGTGAGAAAAGTGTGCAGTAAAAAATAACGAAATGGCAAGTAACTCAAAGTCTGTAACTCCACATTTCACAATTTTCAAAATTTTCGGTTTATCGCGTATAGGTTTTGAAGCATTTAAATTTAAGCTCTTTTTAAGTATGTATTGTATTCTGCAAACAATTACGAATAATTTGATACCTTAGCAAGAGGTGTACTTTCAGAATAAACTAGCTTTTAAAGATAAAATATTCTGCGATCTTGAGCGTAATTTTTATTTCAAAAACACTTAATTGAAGGCGCATTTGGAAAATACGTCGAAACGATCTAAATCTTTCTATAACTGCTAGTCCTTATAAAATTACATATACCTGTAAAGTGCTTCAAAAAAATTTTCTCTAGAAGTGTGTAAAAACCCTGATTTACTACTTTTAATGATGCTCTTTCTTTTAGTCAGAATATTTCGAGAGTGGTATCAAAGCAACTTTTTTCGACAAATATTCGGATAGTTGCTCTTACTTAATTGAAGCCCTTTTAAATTCAATGGCGTCCTCAGTTTTTTATTTTGAAAGTGTACCTATATTTTAGATTTGCCCATATACAAGTTTTTCATGCCAAGTATGAATAAATTCTAAAAAGGGCTAAAAAAAGGGCTAGGGGCAATTTTAAATTTATGTGGCCAAAAAGAGTATGTGGTAGCAAAATCTATCCTGCCAGCCAAAAGTAGTGAAAAGTCTGGTGAAATCTGGCGGGTTTCATTCACTTCAAAACTGGTGAAAACTCTGGTGAGTTTTGTATGGGCGGTGCAAATTTTCACCAGTTCCCCCCTGTACGTGTGAGCCTTGCATCACTGTCGCACTCATTCAGATCCTTCGTAAGGAAAACATATAGCTGCACTTGTCTAGCATTGCCCACTTCAGCTAGCACAGGGTTGCATGTTCTTCACAGCGAATTCAAAAAAACCTTAAAATCTTTAAATAAAAAATCTTAAAATTTTTTATTTTTTTTTGTAAAATTTATTTTTCAAAATGCATTGTTAACCTAATATACATATTTAGTAATCAATATAATGAATAAAAATTACAATTAACATTAATAATAAAGATATTTTTACATACATATGTGGTAGCCTAATTGCTTCCCAATAGACATTGGGCTCGGTTAACAATTCGAAAATGATTGGAAAACTAATCTTTTTTTCAAGTCTCACCTTCGATAATGAATGTGGAAATAGGTTACTATTCGATTCGAGAACTAGGCTATTCTCCAGCAAAACGGAATCTTCGTTATCCAATGTATTTTACCTTCATTATGAATTCGAAATCCAGCCCATTATCGAAGGGAAATTTTAATGAGAGAGAGTGATTGTCTTATATTGATCCTTTGAGATCCTTGAGAATGAGCTGGATTTCGAATTCATAACGAAGGTAAAATACGTTGGATAACGAAGGTTCCGTTTTGCTGGAGAACGGCCTAGTTCTCGAATCGAATACTAACATATTTCCACATTCATTATCGGAGGTTGGACTAGAAAAAAGAGATTCGTTTTCCAATCATTTACCAATTTGTAACCAAGCCTAATAAATATTGGTTATACATTTTTGTTTTTGAAAAAAGGAAAGTATATTTGATTAACGTTTAAGTATAGTTACTTTTTTTTAGAACATTTTGTAATTTTTTTATTAGAATAAAGTATACTTAATTAAAAAACAAATTAATTAAATTAAGAGATCATCCTCAGGATGTTATTTAAGTACATAAAAGAAAAATACTTATTCTAACTATTAGCTATCTAGTTTTATTATTTTCTTGATAAAGCGTCTTTTTTTATACGGGTTTGGGCTTGCTGGAAAAAATGTAATTGAAATCCGCTCGAACTCTGCGTCAACATTCATTTGTTGTCGTTGAGGTTGCATTAGCATGCTTACAATTTCACTGCATTCACGTCTAATTTTTTTTTGAAAATTTTCATTTTATATAAAGTATATTATTATCTAAATTGCTAGTTACCAATTTTTATTTTCCCGAAAACAAACGCGCGACCCGCTTTAGTTGAAAAAATGAAACTTTATAATAAACATAAAAGTCCCAAAAGCATTAAAATACGCAACTTTCTCTCTTGTTACTATGGTTCTTATTTTATTTTCGAACCAATTTCGAGTGTATTTCTATGAACGTTGGAAATTTAACGTTGGTTATGAGTTCGTTCTCAGTTTGATATGCATATTGGATATCGAAGGTCATTATCGAACGTTCGCCACAATGTTTATTGGGTTATTATTACTACTGCTCCTTTGCATATAGCTGTTTTCAAAAGTTGCAAAATTTCTATAAAATAGGTAATCGATTCTAACAATATTACAATCAAAAGAAAAGTAATCGATTTACCTTTCTTTTAATATATATTAACAGTTCCAAATCATTTGTAATGGTTCACAAAATATCAGTTTCGTTACAACTTTGCAAAGTTTGACGACTTTTTCACTTCTTACATATAGATGTTATCAAAAGTTGCAAAATTTCTATAAAATAGTTAATAAATTTTAACAATATTACAATCAAAAGAAATGTAATCAATTTACCTTTCTTTTAATATATATTGTATTAACAGTTGCAAATCATTTGTAATGGTTCACAACAAATTGGTTTCGTTAAAACTTGGCAAAATTTGACGACTTTTTCACTTCTTACATATAGATGTTTTCGAAAGTTGCAAAATTTCTATAAAATAGTTAATCAATTTTAACAATATTACAATCAAAAGAAAGGTAATCGATTTACCTTTTAATATACAGCGTGGCGACGAATAACTGTTACCCAGGTTTTTTTGAGAAATAGAAGAGTCCTTTATAGATTTTGCGAAAAAAGTATGTTATTGTTAATTTTCCACAGATTTTACTTTAGTTGTATTAATTAGTTTTTAAATTTTAATCCTTATTTACATTTGCCAGCAGTGTAAACTTTGAGAGAAAAGTTCATTTGGCACGCAGGTCCTCGTCAGTTAATTTGTTCCATATCTTCTGTAACCATAGGCTAATTTTCTCCATTTTGAGTCCCTTATACTCCCTCTTCTGTCCAAAATAAGGCCTCATACTCAAAAATCTAATAGACTCGGGACTGGTGACTAGGACGGCCATTCATTCGACCAACCTTATACAGTTTTTTTTCTTTTTTGTACTTTTTTTATACAAAGCCTAAGAAAAAATACACCTGAAAAAGACTTGCGTGCCAAATGAACTTTTCTCTCAAAGTTTGCACTGCTGGCAAATGTAGATAAGGATTAAAATTTAAAAACTAACTAATACAGCTAAAGTAAAATCTGTGGAAAATTAACAATAAAATACTTTTTTCGCAAAATTTATAAAGGACCCTTTTATTTCTCAAAAAAAACTGGGTAACAGTTATTCGTCGCCACGCTGTATATTAACAGTTACAAATCATTTATACTGGTTCACAAAAATCAGTTTCAATACAAGTTTGCAAAATTTGATTGCGTTTTTTCGACTTATATATAGACGTTTTCAAAAGTTGCAAATAAAAAAGTTAAGCGATTTTAACAATATTATAATAAATATAAAAGAAAGGTAATCGATTTATTATTTGTTGTGGCCCCGATAGTATTTGCACTTCTTGTATCGAAATCACGTCTGCTTGTTGCTTTGTTTGCAATTTTTATGAAGATTGTTTTATAATTTAATGTGCTTGCTCTAGTTGCTGCATTTGTACTTCCTCCAAGCAATGCTCCTGCGACAGTGACCTTTTTGCTGCTGCTCTTGTTTGCTTTGTTGATTAATATTTTCGCTAAATTCCGTTCGTTTCTGAAGTGTGTTCATTCGATTTTTGACTTTGACTATCTGTAGGTGCTAGCGGCCAGTTGCATAAATTACTTATATCCATGGAGGTGCTCGAGAATAACACATTGACATCATGTGTAACCAAATTTTCGGAATTCGATAGTGGCGCTTGTAGCGTTATGTCTTGTGACTGGCATGAAGCAGCAGAAGAGTCTAAAACAACTATCTCATCTGGTGCTTGCACTCATTCGCAATTTTCCTCATCCTCAGCTAGATTAAATTGCAATTTGTTGAGAGGCACAAGTTTTTCTTGTTTGATGATTTCGCATGGCAGAAAAGTAGTAGCGGATAGAGAAATGAATAAGTGAAACTGGATTTTCGTATGTTAAACTTACAAATATGAATTTGAAACTTACGATTTTCAAAGTTTACTGGCTCGTTGCGGGTAGTTGCTTGCAATCCGAAATTTAAATGTTCTCCAAGAAGTCTCTCTGAAAAAAATTTAAAAAAAGTTAAGGTAAAAAAAATTACATAACATAGGAGAGCCTAACATAACGTAACATAGTATAGCAAAGCACAACATAACGTAACATACCATAAGAGAACATACATAATAGATCATAACATAACTTGTTATGAAATAGAATAAAATAAGTATCAATCGCCCCTAAAATCATTTTGAGTAAAATAAAATAAAAAACGAATAAAACTTATTAAAACTCTATCCCTCTCTCCACTTACGTGAGGTTTGAATTCCTGTCGCAAAAGTTCTAGGCATCTTGCAATCCGAAGCCACAGCTAGTTCATCACCTCTGCTTACAACTTCGGTAGTTACATTAGTTGTGCTGGTTTCCTGTACCTGCTCTACGGCGTGCAACCCAACTGATTTTTCAAAAATAGAACTTTCATTATTTTCTGGCGGCGTGCTTTGCTCGTTCGTTATGCATCTCATTACTTTAGTTAAAATATACCAGTACTGCGATAGTAGTCCCAAATGACTATATGGTCATAATTTGTTGTCGAAATTAAATTTCGCCAATGGATTAATTTCGGTGAAATATACTGTAAACCGATTTGAGGCAGTGCAACGTCCTTTGATTTATGGTACTGAAAGACATCTGATAGACGCATATAAAGATTAATGGGCCATACTTGAGGGGATTTTATTGTGTGCTCATAGCACCGCTTTAATATTTCTACATCTTCATAAATCTCTGCTGCTTCGTATATACGCGTATATTATTTGAACTCTGGGAAAGACATATTTAGAATACTGGCAATTACCCTGCGTTTGACCCCTGTGATAGTGTAGGAGATAAGGAAGCGTACATTACTGAAATAAAGTTACATCTTACAGAATTATTACTCATTTATTTTATAATGGACACTTTCCTTACATTTTCAACTGTTGCAAAATACAGATCTATTGCTTGCTGTACGCGTGCTTGCTGCGCACTATTCATATTCTGACCTAAAACTCCCTGTGCTCCGTCAATGTTAACTACAAAGATTTTAGTTATTGCAGAAATTATTAAATATTCAAACCATTATCATACATTTTCAGCATCAGTAACGCATGGCTGTGCGGTCGTGGCGCCATTGGTCATTACAATATTTTGGTCTGAGACTGTTTCTGCTACCAATGCCGCTATTGCAGTTTCTGTTCTTGCACTCTTTTACAACGCAACTTCTTTCCTGCTTAATGACTTCAATTTCTTCAATCGATATTGCTTGGTGCTTGGTCATGATGGGCAAGCCGGCAACCTTATTGATCTCTAAAATTCCTGAATTTTTTTTATTCCATTTTGTTACGTATGTACATATCGTCGCCTCAGAAAACGGATGACGAATGTGCAAAATCACGATTTTGGGATTTTGATGCAGATTTACTAAGTTGGACATGCTCTTTCGATTTCTGCAATCCATTTTTTTANTGGTCATGATGGGCAAGCCGGCAACCTTATTGATCTCTAAAATTCCTGAATTTTTTTTATTCCATTTTGTTACGTATGTACATATCGTCGCCTCAGAAAACGGATGACGAATGTGCAAAATC